ATGTCGTCAAAAATCATGAAAAAACGTCATAGCATAGCATGTCGTCAAAAATCACGAAAAAAGTCATAGTATAGAATGTCGTCAAAAATCATGAAAAAACGTCAGTATAGCATGTCGTCAAAAATCACGAAAAAAGTCATAGTAGAGAATGTCGTCAAAAATCACGAAAAAAAAGTCATAGTATAGCATGTCGTCAAAAATCACGAAAAAACGTCAGTATAGCATGTCGTCAAAAATCATGAAAAAACGTCATAGTATAGCATGTCATCAAAAATCATGAAAAAACGTCAGTATAGTGAAATGCAGAATAAACATCAGTCATATCACAGTTAGCTATAATAATGTTAAAATAGATATAAAGTATAGTAAGATGTAAACAATGAAGAAAAATAATCAGTACATGTTCTGGTTGTCAGGTGATCGTGCTTCACGTTATTTTCACTGCGGCACAATCTTTTTCTCTGTCAATTATGCAGGTCAACACTTCACCCACTCTCCCTGGGCAACACCTCTGGACCACCCAACTGTGTTTGTGCCCCCATCTTCCACGTCTCTGGCTGATCCCTCCCCTTTCCGATGTGAATTGCCCTGCCAATCACAAGCCATCTGGATCCATCACCCCAGCTGATAAAAGCTGCTTTGTAGTTATGCCAGAGCCGGCTGTGATGGACCCTCAACAGTCTGCCCCTAACTGTCTATAGGAATTTCAGTGTGTAACTCATGTTAACTAGTATGGACACTGAATTGGGATTTTGTGATCTGGGCAGTTGGCTTATTGTGTTTGCTTTTCTTTCTTCTTCTGCATTGCTTTCTGCACCACACAGGTATTTTCCTGACTGTATAGAGTCAGTGGAGTTTTTTCAAAGATTAGGGAGTTTGGTCTGTTCAGTTTGTTTTGATCTGGTGCCACACACTGACCTTCCCTTTGTCCTCGCCTCATTTGACTCCTCTGTTGAGCATTTTGTATTTAAGTGTTAACCAGAAAGCCTTCATTTGTGTAACTTTAATTCTACTGGTTCAATAAACAGCAGTGTTTGCCTGACGAGATCGGCTCTGAGTTGCTTCCCTTATCCCAAGACATCACAACAGTCTGTAACATTGTAGTATGCCATGAAAAGGAAAAAGAAAATATTGTAGTTGGCATTCCATAAAAATGTATCTGTTAAATTGGCAGTAATAATAAGAACTCTGGTACTGTGAACATACATGTGAATCTCTTAATTCATATAGACGTTGCATGATTATTTTATTTCCCAGAGGTTTACTGCATTTTTGCACATCATATTTTTGACTTATTTTGTGTTCAGATTGTTCATATGGTGCTTGTTCCACACAATTTATGATAATAAAAGTATTTGAAAATAGTAAGATGTTCTTCCTTCAATTTATATCTTTGTAACGAGTGTTTGAACTATATTTAAGCCATCAAAAGCAGGTATTTAAGGGTTTTTTTAAAAACGAAAAACTTAAAAA